AAAGAAACTGACAACAAAACAATATGAGGAAACCAAACTTCCCATCCAACACACATAAAAGTACATAAACATACAACAATAAATGTCTTACCTTCATTGGTTCTGATCTCTGCTTTGTCCAGTTTGGTGACGATGTCGTTCTTCCCACCAGAGAGCTGAAACACACAGTCGTACCTCCTCCAGTCTTCAGGTGTGACTGATGAAGGAAGCTTCAGGTCAACACTCATCTGGAAGGATCCATCGTGGTTGAGGAGGATCTCTCCGTGGTCCACGTTCTCATGAAGCTCCACTCCATCTTTCCTCCAGATGAGTGTGGCACTGTTAGGGTAGAAACCTGTAGCATGGCAGCGGACTGGAGAGGAGGGAGTCTTCTGGAGGAGAGACACTGAGGGACGGTCTGAGAGAGAGAGAGAATGTTTATAGTATAAACTATTTAGACTGTATTAACTTATATTAACATTATAATTTCTCTTTGATGTAATGTAGTTTAAATGTTTTTGTAACAAACACTAAATACATGTATGAAAAGCAGATAAACCTCATTGAAGTCTACTCGACGCAGACCAACTGTCGCGCGACAACGTGACGTCACGGGAGCACCGTGACTATCTATACTTGCGCGTGGTGGTCGCGGCACTAGTTGCAGTCTTCTCCTGAACAGAGTGTCGCTAGTGAGGAAAGGCTACCGACGTTGCTATTTCTACGCACTAGAAGAAGAAAAAGTTCCGGCAACTCTGGGCGTCTCTGTGCTCCTTTATTGAAGGATCGTACAGATCGTCCATCTTCCTGTTTCCGGTTTGTCGCGCGCAGCTGAAAAAAAAAAAAAGGTGCGCGCCAACGAGATCTACGTCATTTTGACGTCACGGTGTCGTGCGACAGCTCGAGTGCGTCGAGTATACTGGGCGATAGAAGAAGATTGAAGAGAGGTAGATTAGAGAGTGAGGACAATTAGTGTGAGACAGAGTGAGTCTGTATGTTGGTGATATTTATTGTGATGTTACTGTTGGTTAGAAACTGAAGAGGAAGATGAAGATTGTTGTGTCCATTAAACTACATCAGGTCATGTGATTCTACCTGTTCTCAGCAGAGAGCTCCTCCCATAGTCCACATACTTCTTCAACCAGTCAATGCAAATCTGGGTGAGGTATTGTTTTGTCTGTGCTATGAGAGCTCTGTTATTATCCCACTTGTGTTTGGTGATGACAGCCTGTGGTGTCGGAGCGATGTATGTCTCTGTCTTCAGGTCAAATGCTACGAAGTCTTCTCCATCATAACCCCACTGCATAAAACCATTAACCTCATTAGACTCATCGTCCCACTCACAGCCGTACATGTTCTGGTAAAGGTGGACACCTGAGAGAGAGACAGACAGAAACAGTATTAAACCAGAGTGAGATCACAGCACAGTCTTCTATCATCAGTTGATATCACATCTTTACCACAGAGACACACTGATCCACAGACACCAACACAGAGGATCTACACCTCCTGCTGTTATTGGCTCGATGGAAGACACTCACAGACAATCATCATCTGGACAGTGTGGACGTCTTAGAGAGACACAGAGAAGCAAAGACTGCTGGGAAACAGAGTGACATCCTAACACAGTTCATATCCTCTTTGTTACCACAGAGACACACTGACTCCACTGAGACCAACAGTTTATCTCCACACACACACACACACACACACACACACACACACACACACACACACACAGATTAAACCTGATCCTGGTCTGAACATTAACACCCACTGAGACCCTGCAGCCAGCGGACCAGTCCAACAATATCCTCTTCCTGTGAGAAACTACAGACTGTCCTGAAGCTGCTCTAGAAGCTTCCACTGAAGGACAGTTTCAGTCCAGGATGAGTTCCCAGACTCCAGCTGCTCAGCCAGGACAGTGAGTCCTGTTCAGCACTGTGTTACTACAACTGGTCAGAATAAGGCAGAGACCATCAGGACCATTATGGAGACTGGGAGGCAGTCTGTGTGTCCTGATTGGTCCATCCATCAGTCAATCAATCAATACGACCAACAGCTGTTTCCTCCTGCAGATGTTGTCTTGATGCTGCTGATGGGACGGACCAACACACTGTGGTCAGTACAGCAGAGTTCATCTAATCTAATCTGTTGTTCTACTGAATATTTACGGCTCAATTTAATCATTATTTTCATTATCAATTAGTTATTGATTAATCGATGTGAAAGCTGCATGCTGCCTGTTACGTCACTCCAGCCTTTGAGTCTGCTTTTTTTTTTTTTAACTTCTTAACTTTTATTGTCTTTTTGTTGGTTGTTATTTGTTCACTGTGACTCTATGAAGTCCTGTCCTCTCTAACGATGTTGTCTGAGAGAGTTTTTGTGTTTTATTTGGTGTTTTAATGCCGCTTCCACCGGGACACGCTGCCGTTGTTTACTCCGGAGAACAGCTGATGGCGCTAATGGCGGCCGGTATAGTGGCCAGAGCCGCTGATTGACCACCTGAACTCTGGAGGAAACACACCGGGGATGAAGAGGAGGGAAGCAACGTCGGGGGAAGAGAGGAGGGTGGAGACGGGACGGGTTTATGGAGAAGATTGAAGCCGAGTCTCCCCTCTGTTGTTATGGTGAATGTACGGTCTCCTAGCAACAAGATGAACGACTAACGGCTTTACCGCGGAGCCACGCGGAGAACCGAGTATATATAAATATATTTATTCTTAATATATGTATGTCTGTTACATATGGAGTAATGTAACGAAAGTAATTTCCCTCTGGGATTATTAAAGTATGTCTGAGTTACTTTTTTATTTTTTGTTTAAAGTCAGAAAATTGTGAAAAATGTCGATCACAAGTTCCCAGAGCCAAAAGTGAAATCTCCAAATGTGTCCTTTTATATTATGGGATGGACAGACTGTATCAGTACAGCAGAGTTAATATAATATAATCTGTATTCTACTACATATTGTGGGCTCAAACTAATTATTCCTGTCATTATTGATTAGGTAATGACTATTTATTCTGATTAATCAATAAATCGTTTATGTTGTAAAATGTTCAGAAACAGTGAAAATGTCCATCACAAGTTCCCAGAGACTAAAGTTAAATCTTCACATTGATCCGTCGGTCCGACCCAGTGCCGGTCCGTGGCATAGGCAGTATAGACTAATGCTAAGGGCGCCGTCCATCTAGGGGCCGCCACGATGGGTGTAACTGCCCCTGTCGCCACTTTATTTTCTGTATTAGCACTTTTTATTATTTGTTTCTTCTGAATTGTATGTTTACAGCGAGACGGAACTAATTATGTGTTGTAGTGTTTAAGTACAAAGGTTTACAAAGACAACAGACAGAAGCAGAGACGGGAGATTTAAAAGGATGTTTAGCAGCTCTTTGTGATGAGCAGCGATGAGGTTTGTTGTTGTTTATTTGCTGTGACGCTGTTTGTGTTTACATGTGTCAGTTTTAGTGAATAATAAATATAAAGTGTCTCAGCTGTTTATGGGCTGGATTATAACATTAACAATATGAATTATTATATATATTTATTGTTATTATATTATTATATTTCTCAGGGACATTTGTAAAGATTAGATCTATTCAGCAGCTGTTTACATTTGTTTACATTGTTATTTGTATTTATTATTGTTTAGTTAACGTTTGCTCTGCTTGTAACAGTCAGTCAGATGCTTTTCCTTTCACACACCTTTATATATTAGAGTTGTAAGCCTTGTTGTTTGTTGTGTTACAGTTCAGTATTGTCTAAAGTGTGTTTATAGTGTTAAACTTTACATCCATGTTAAAGTGCACATCATTAATGTTAATACATTCCCATATGTTATATTATTCTGCAGTTTACTGATTCTTTACATTCTGATAATCAGCATTTCACTGTAATGACAATAACATTCAATCTAATGTAATTTGTATATCAGAAGAAATTGCACTGTATATCATTCATGTACAGTACAGTGAAAGTAATGCATCTCTTAGGTTTTTCATTTTTATTATTTCATTTTATTCCTGGAATCATTTCTGTTACTATTAGACTGTAACACCGAACTCTTCCTGTTACAGAGGCTGCTGCTGAAAGAAGATTCTCCGAGCTCAAACTCATTAAAGCTTACCTGAGATCTGCTACGATGCAAGAACTCAAGATCGCCTATTTCAGTTTCAACAAGTGCTGTAGCGTTTGTCTCGAGCCTCCAGGGGCCACCAGGGGCCTCTAGGAGCCACCAGGAGCCTCTAGGGGCCTCCAGTGGTCACCAGGAGCCACCAGGAGCCACCAGGGGCCACCAGGGACCACCAGGAGCCACCAGGGGCCACCAGGGGCCTCCAGTGGCAGGTTAGCGTTATTGTTAGCTACATTAGCCTATTTAGCAAACAAAACTTTACATTGTACACACAACAACACCGTGCAATGTATAAATTGGTGACCGGACTAAAGCAGCAATGTAAACAGTGTGTAAGAGGATTTAAAATCGACATTAAAACGACCAACGTAGGACAAATACAGAGAAAACACATCTCAATATGGGCGCAGCCATCTTTGTTTTGCGGGTCGTACGTGCCCCCCCGTTGAGCTCGGTGAACTCTGAGGAGCCCCGAGTGGGACGGCTGACATTAATTAATATCTCGGCGTGGTGTCTCGCGATATATTGCCGTATCGATATTTTTACCCACCCCTAATGTACGTCAATAAAACACACTTAATAGTGTGTGTGTGTGTGTGTGTGTGTGTGTGTGTGTGTGTGTGTGAGTGTGTGTGTGTGAGTGTGTGTTTCAGTGTGAGTGGTAACATCTGTTTACTAAAATACAAGATAAAAATATAAACAACATTTTATCAGTAGAAAGTGAAACTTAAACAAACCTCCAGTTTGGTTGAAGCGCGGCTTCACAGTTTCAATGCTGGCTTTGAAGGTCTGCTGGTTACCCAGATAGATCTGAGTGTGCCTCTCCCAGTACTGAGGATCCTCTGCTGTGACTCTGCTCATCCAGTCCTGTTTGGGTTCTGCTCTCCTGGTGTTACTGTCATAGTAATCTATCTGACCTTCATCGACCAACCCAACAGCCACAAACTCTGGGAAGTTTGGGACTCCAGAAGACGCAGTGTAGAAATACTTCAGAGAGTGAGTCACTGTAAGAAAACATTAATGTAACATTTCAGTTTTATAAATCACTGAACAATGTTATTGTCCTGCACACAGAATCAAAGAGAACTACAGTACATTCAAAACATGACTATAAAGTTTGTTTTAAAAATACAAACAAGAAAATAAATATCTGTAACTGACTTTAATATATCTTGATTTATTGATTTGTGTAAACTAAATAATTATATTTAAGTTAAACTGACAATATCTTTGATAACTAATATTTTGTATAAAGTAAAATATTCTGTGTTTTATTACAATCCCATAAGAAATATTAACAGACAGGCTCTATATTTTATAAAGTTCTCTTAAGTTATATTTTTATATATTATTATATATATTTATAGTTTCTTTCAGTTATAATTTATAAACTGAATTAAAAGCAGATTTTTATTAAATTAAATATCCTTTATTAAATTCCAGCCTTTTCTCCATCATGAACTGATGTTAATTCACTTTTTGTCCTGATTCTTAAAGTTTATTCTGGGTTGTTTTTTAAATATCAACAGAGTTTATTTGCTGCAGGTGATTTTAACCATTAAATTATCGTCTATTTTAGGATCCTTCACTGTCCTCTGCTGTCTGAGTTCATGTCGATCTTATTTCTGTGTTAAACTGCACTATTATTACGATTATTAACAGGAAATATATTTATTCATAGACAGATTCATAAAACATGTTTGATTTAAACATTATAATAATATGTATAATAATATATTTATATTATATATACTGTCAATGAGTAAAACCCAACTGATGCTGGAAACTAGTGAGCGCCCTCTGGTGGACAAACTATGTAATGATCACACTGTTTCTAAACTATCTTAAACCTAGTTTGGCCTTTCTGTACTTTAGTTTATTGTTATTTATTAGATGACATTCACACAAACACCAACATATCTGCAATAAGTTAATATCTGCAGATAAATCAGTGGCTGATTTATTGATTGAGCTCTACTCAACAGAATGTTATTGTACACACAGTAAATGTAATAACTGTCAGTCTGATGTGATTAAACCCAAACAACAAAACTCAGTCTGGACGAACTACATTAAAGCAGATCAGTGTTTCAGTTTGTGGAGTCAGACTGTGTAATTTAATGGGAAATAGATTAAAATATATTTTAAACATTATATAATTAAAGAAAATATATAAAGGGTCAAACAATAGAAATACTATTTATGTTTATTAGGTCATTGATTAGATGTGCGTTTCTCTGTGTGCACAAAATGTTGTTAATTCAGATTAAATACAGTGTTTTGTTTTAAGATTGTGAAAATATTTTAATTATGTCTAATGAGTGAAAACAGCATATAAAATATTTACATAATTTCTACAATTACAATAATGATTAACACACTAAATTAACGACAACACACTTTTAATTTAAATAAAACGATCATAAACAACAAGATTGAAATAGTTAAATACACTTTATATAGTTTTAGATCAGAAACACTTTGTTTTAATGTTTTTTACTCTTTTCTTTATTTATCTGACTGTTGGACTGTTGCTGCGTAGTTCTGCTGCCATTTTAGTATCAATATCGATCAGAACTTATCGATCTTAATGGTATTGATATTTTAAAATAATGGAAAATAAAAACACACTTTTTAGCAGCCATTTTGAGAAACAGCCTACAAGCTTTTCTTCCAACAGTAACTATTATGGATTAATGAGACAGGATCTACTAACATTAACTTTAACATTATGGGTTTGTTCCTTTTTAAAACATTTATTTTATCTGTGAGTATATCCTGGAAACTAAACATCAAACACTATTAAAATAACAATAAACTCAAATATACAGAATATAAAAGACACGAAGTATTTTTTATCTTTTACAATCAATCGATTTAAAATAATGTAAACTCACCTGCCGCAGCGCCATGTAGACCTATTCCCAGCAGGACCACAAACATCAGGGTCTTCATTGTGTTCAATCTGAGGATTTAATGAACTGAAGAAGAGATATTTCTTTATCCAGAGAAACTCACACACACTGTTTCCAGTTGGAGCTCCGCGGGTGAAATGAGGACAAGAGACGAAGGGACGCTGAGATCAACCCTCCATCTGAGCCAATGGGAATTTAGCTCGACCGTGAACGTCACTTCTAACTAGGTAAAACTGAGCCACTGAGGTTATCAACGAAAGTGAAAGTAAAATGATCTTATTTTAGTGTGTGTGAGAGGATGAGGGGGAACATGTAGGCAGGGCTTTATTCTGGTGTTTCAACGTTGTTCACATATGAAAGGAGAATTAAATCTTCTGCTGCTCAGATCTTGTTCAATGTTTTGTAGGTTAATGTGATGTAATGTGCAGAAATGTGTTATTCTCTGGGAGGTCAGAGGTCACTGTCAGCTACAGATCAGACACTCTGCAGTTTGTGTGGATGCAGCAGGGTCTTAAAAACTGTTCAAACTGTTGAAAACTGTTCTGATCAAAAATCCAGAAACAACAAATTAAAGTGTCATTGATGTTATAGTGAGTAAATGTGGTGAGGAGCGCCCCCCAGTGGTTCAGAGCTGCAGTTGATGTGCAGCAGTACAGTTTCTCACTGTGAACTGTTATTATCTGTTATTTTAAACACATCTGTGTTCAATCACACCATCTGGTTATTAAATGAGACAGAGGAGAACATCTTTTATCCTTTCTGAAGTCCATATCCACTAATGTATTTATTTATGTGTTAGTATGTTTCAGTTCAGGCCTACTCACTGGTCTTGGCTCAAATCAGGTCAACTATCAGAACAGACAATATAATAAAACACAAGATAATTTCAATAAAACAATATTTGACCTCCAGCAGAAAGACAGTCAGAGAGCTTGTTGAACACAAACATCAGATGAGGTCAGCTCTGTCCTTCAGGCTAAATGCCTCTGAGCTCATTTGGAGCTGTGGACGCTGAAAACTGCTTGAACAAGAGAAATGTAACACCGCCGTTGATGTTTGAACACCTGATGCTGTTTTTCATTTTGCTCTCGCTTTGGCGTCGTTTATTCTCTGTTTCAATCCTCATTTATTGTTTCTGAAGCACTTTATAAAAGGTTGTAGAAACTTTTTGTTCTCATTTCTTCCATTGAGATCATTTTATTGATGTTTATTACACAAACAAAGCAACATGTGTCACATCTTTTATCTTTATCAATAATACCTGAGTTGATCACTGAGTTCACCTTTACAGAGATGTCAGCAGTGTGACAGCGCCCCCCTGTGGACAAACTATGTATCTGCCTTTGAACTGCTGATGGGAAACCACCTGAGGATGTCACCTGACTTTCTGTTAGTAAAAACATCACAATAATCCATTACTCTGGTAATATGTATTTATTAAATCAAGAATAATTAAATAAAATCAATGTATAATAGTGTCAGTGAACAACCTCACAGCTCCTTAAAACTTAAAAAATACCTTTAACAAAGCTAAAATTCTTGAAAGATTTATTTTACGAATGAACCTTAAATAAACAACAAACAAACAAACAAACAAACAAACAAATAACTCTTAACTGGATTTTTAGAAGCACTTTATTTATGAATAAAATCTTAATCTACACAAGTTGTAGTAACCCCCCCCCCGCAAGTGAATGTTTTTATGCAACAGATTAATTTACAAAATGTGAAAAAAAGATGTATTGACATATTTTTATTTATATATTTACAGACATTTTTATCTACAGACACTGCAGGCGGCCTTCCATGGAGTCCACCATGTTGAACCTCCATGTTAATCTACTGTAGCCCAGAACAGACAAACCAAACACTGTAGATACGGTCTTTTATGTTTTCTATGAGTGTCACATCCGCCGTACTTTCTCCTACACTCTTGGAAAGTAAGTGGTATTTATGCTGTGGTAGCTATGTTCCTGTCACATCTTAAAGCTTTTGGTTCTGGAGTGATCAATCTGTATTGTCAGTTCAGTGTTGTTTGGTTCCTCAATGTGTCCACTAGAAGAAGAATCTGACTCTGAAGATGAAAATATTTTCAGGTCTGCCACTGGGGTCTCTTCTCTGTTATAACTATACGTTTCAGAAAGGCAATTGAAACCAGGCACTGCAGAAAAAACAGAGTGAGATCTTAACACAGTCAGCTATTATCAGTTCATATCACATCTTTACTACAGAACCACACTGATCCACTGTCACCAAAACAGAAGATCTACACCTTCTGCTGTGTTTGGCTTGATGGAAGCCATCTATTATCTGGAACACATTGGGATGAGATATAGCAAAACAAAACTACTGATAGTGGTGAAAATGACCACCAGTGCTGCTCAGTGGGCATCAAATCAGACTGTGGTTATACTGGGCAGCACCCAGGTGTGAATGTGGGTAACCTTAACAAAAGAAAAAGTTTCCCTGGATATATGAAGGTAAAAAAACTTCACTCTGATGTAATGTGGAGATACTTAGAAACACTGCATCAGTTCAGTATCAACGTCAACAAGTAATTGTTAGCTTTTAATGGCAGCTTTCTCAAAATGATTAATTTTAATAACAGGGGTTTGTCCTAATAAGATCATATCATCACAATGTGATTCGAGAAAGGATCATGTTGACAGCAATTAGTTACCTTTGATGGACAAAGTGCTGTTTGGTTTCTCAAGGTGTTCACTAGAAGAAGCATCTGACTCTGAAGATAAAAAAATACAAAATAATTAGAACAACAATCAACTGAAGGACAAAAATATAGAAGAGATTTATGTACAGACAGACAGACAGACAGACAGACAGACAGACAGGCAGGCAGGCAGACAGACAGACAGAAGGATGGATGGATATAAACCTTGTTTGCTCATCAAAGTGTCAGCTGAAGCCGTCAAGTCTACAGGAATAGAAAAAAATTAATCAAAATGAGGCAACACAAGTTCAACTAACCAAAACCTTTGGGCCTGACTTTCTTTACACAAATATTACAAAAGAAGAAAGACAACATTTTGATCATTTTCAGGGTTTTGGCAAATGTAATGAGTGTAAAGGAACAGAGTGTAAGCATCTAGCTGTGTAGTTGCTGACTGCAACCCCTCGCCTCACCCTCTCCTTCCTAGCATGAAGGAGAAGTTTGCAGTAAAACACATGAAAAACGTGAAATACCCTATCTATAGCCATTGTTTAGTGTCTGTTCTGGGCTGCTGTAGAAACATGGTGGATTCTGTCTGTACATGTAAAGGGCTCATTCTAACAAAAACATTTCTTATTTTCAGATGATTATACAGTAATGAAAACATAGTTATGCATATTATATTCCATTTCAGACATATTCTGTAACTATATCTTCCACACCGGACCTTTAATACAGTCGGTGTGGTTATAAAATGCTGCTTGGTAAACAGATTGAAGTGCTTTGACTCCACACAGTAATCTCTACCAGGGGGCGGACTACAGGGGAGTCAGGGGAAGTTCTCTAAAACACTATGACAATTTATTTTCACCATGTATTTCTATCTTTCTGTATCTTCATCATCATAGATCATGAATAAAGTTAACTAGTATTGATGTAAAATCTCTACTTGAATTAACAGAACTTGTAACCCTAACCCTGTAAATCCAGTATTGCCATAAAGCAGTCCTGTCATTGATTTGCTCCCACTACAACTGGAGATATCACTGTATAAACAACAACCTTTGTGTTTGGGTCCCTCATCTTTCTTCTTTTTGTAAGCCACAAATCCAACTGCAGCAAACACCACAACAATGAGGATGAGACCGAGAACAAACACTGTAGCTATGATGATGATGGTGTCAACAGGTTTCTCTGTTGAGCAGAAAACAACAAAAATCAAAACGTGTACAGATAAAGAAAAAACATCAATTTGACCACAATCCTGTGTTCACATACATTCATTCAGTTACTAAATAACTCTACTCATCTTCTCAAACTGACCACTAGTTAAGTCAATACAGCGCCTATAATCTCTGCTTGCACATGGCCTGAGATAAAGTTTGAAAACTTTTATTTGACAAATACTAAAAAAAATTCAAAAACTAAAATACAACTTCTTTTATAATATGAATGACACCAAAAGATTTAATAATATTGTGTTTGTTCTGCTGATACCTCAGGGTCCAGAGGTGGACATGTGCATTGTTGTAAATTCAATATAAGCCTTAACATTATTAAAAGAAACTAGATGAAAAAACTGACAACAAAACAATATAACAAAACAAAACTTCTCATCCAACACCACATACGAACACATGCAGGACTGTTACAGTAAAATAAATGTGTGTTTCCCACCTTCATCACTGTTACCAGTCTTACCCCAGTTGGTCCTGATGTTTGATTTGTCCAGTTTGGTGACGATGTTGTTCTTCACACCAGAGAGCTGAAACACACAGTCGTACCTCCTCCAGTCTTCAGGTGTGACTGATGAAAGGTTCAGGTCAACACTCATCTGGAAGGATCCATCGTGGTTGAGGAGGATCTCTCCGTGGTCCACGTCCTCATGAATCCCCTCTCCATCTTTCCTCCAGATGAGTGTGGCACTGTCAGGGTAGAAACCTGTAGCGTGGCAGCTGACTGGAGAGGAGGAAGTCTTCTGGAGGAGAGACACTGAGGGAAGCTCTGGAGAGAGAGAGAGAGAGAGAGAGAGAGAGAGAGAGAGAGAGAGAGAGAAATGTTATTAATTATTAATAATGCCATTTTGAGGGGTTTTTTTTCAAACAACTATTTCATTTTAACTTACATATATCAATAGATCACAATGTATGGAGTAAAAAGGGTTAGATTAGTGAAAGGAACCTATAGCAAAACAACATTATTCTCCCAGATCATATCCTGGATATGTTCAGCTTTCTTTTTCTTCCAAAGCTGCATGCAGACCCATTTTACAAGAGGAACTATACCAGCTCTAATTTGACCACAAATATACCTTTATTTGTGAACTTCAACTTTTTATCACCAAAATAAAACTGCAATTTGAATTGTTTCCCAGACTTATTTCCCTAATGGATAATAAAGAAATGGTAGGCTATAGCCTTTGAAATACATTTGTTCAGCTTTAATCTGACGGGGAGTAAGCAACTGAAGATGGCAAATATGTTTAAAGATTTTAAAAATATAAAGATCAAAGTCATAGAGACATGATTGGAAGATCACAATCTGATCCAGTTTGGTGATGTGAGATTAAAATACAACAGATTTCATTCAGTGGCTTTATTTCAGCTACTTCGACAGATGTAACAAATGTAAACACAGTCAGTGAATTGCTGTTAAAAAACATTCAGACTATGTAATTTAAAAACTCAACTTCATTCTGCAGATGCACCACAAATCCTGCTCACTCAGAACTATCAACAAATCTCATACACATAATCTCCAATATTGTTTATATATATAATACATATAATTATGTTCCATGGGGCAACCAATCAATGGAACTGACAGCTGTGTTGCGTGCACAGAGTCCCAGTAGGATTAGGATTCTGACATACAGTAAATAAGAGGTGTAAGAAAACTTAATAAAAAATGCTCTGTAAGTAAATTGTCTAACAGAACAATGGTCAGTTGGCAAGGACAAGAAAATACGGAATTTGTCTAAAAAGAAGCCTTTTAAATATATATGATAGTTAAAAATGATAAAAAATAATACATAATGCAGCCAGATAATTCTATAAAAAGGAAACAATCTGCTTAAAATTCATCCAAATCACTCCACAAACTTCTTAAAGTGTTTAATATAATATAAAATATCCATAAAATATGTCACTTAAGCAGAGGTTGTCAGTTTACTAAATGACAGAAAAGGCTAAAGTAATAAGAGAGGTTTGGGAACCACTGCAGTAAACCATAGCTAATTAATGTGCTTGATATGTGCTTTGATACTGACTGAAATAAAACAGTGTGCTGGCTCTGTAAGAGGGAGGGGACAGAGAGAAACTCAGAGTATGTTAAAGAAAACCTGCCAGTGATCAGGCTTAGTTCATAGAGTTTAAATTAACTCTTTTTCCCTCAACTCATCAGTTTTTACTTCACTTTCTGTAACAGGGCGGAGGTCATGTAATTTAGGTAATTCTACCTGTTCTTGGCAGAGAGCTCCTCCCATAGTCCAAATACTTCTTCAGCCACTCAATGCAAATCTGGGTGTTTTGTCTTATATATCCAAGCTTTGTCACGATCCCACTTATGTTTGGTGCGGAAGGCCTGTTGTTTTGGAGCGATCCATGCCACTGTCTTCAGGTCAAATGCTATAAAGTCTTCTCCGTCAAAACCATACTGAGCATAACCATCAGAATCATCAGTCTCATCATCCCAGTCACAGCCGTACACCCACTGGAGAATGTGGACACCTGAGAGAGAGACAGAGATTGTAGCAAACCAAAGTGAGATCTTAGCACAGTCAGCTATTAGCAGTTGATATCACATATTTACCACTGACAAACACTGATTCATGTGTAGCAGGGGGACACAAGGGCCAATCAGATGCGAGTCACAAGCCAATATACTGCTATGTTTTTGTTTTACAAGTTACACTGAATCTGCCATGTTCTACAGATCATCTGAGTGACCTGATGATCTGATGACCTGAGTCCCATCACCAGCTGACACTTCAGAATACAGGAAACCCTTTACATCGACGGAGGTAAATCTGCAGCTTTGACAAAGACTATAAAACATAAATACGGCAATACTTGTAAAACTTTCTCAAAGAAAAAAAAAAGAGAGTAATTCTGAATCATTTACACAGAACAGTCCTCACAGTAGTTTTAAACTTTGGTTACTGAGCAGTTTTCAACAACATAAGCAAGTTACTTGACTGAATAGGTTTAAACTGTGTTTTGTCAGTTTATAGTATGTTCATATGATAATCTGTGATCCAATAGTGCTAACCCTAGACTAAGCTTCTATTTCTATACAGAAGTTTAAAGAACAGCTTTGCTAAAAACAGCATCCCTGTTGATTCCAGCTTGTTACAGGCATTATTGTTTCTATCAAAATCTGCACAGAATTTGATTCTAACCTTCCAACTCTTTTACCAATGCCTAGTGATTTCTAATATTTTCATTTAATTGTTCCTCATAGGTATCTTAGTCTGTTTTGCAAACCCTTCACACAAAATAACATCTTGTAACCAAAAGCATGAAAGACCATTCAAAAGTATAGAGTCAGCTCTCTGACTGCACTGAATAAAGCTATTGTGGCAATTCCAAACGTTTGAACAGTATTGTACATCTGTTTGCAACTAGAGCCCTTTTAAGTACCTTTGCATAGTCATACTGGTGCAAAATCGGTGTGCAATCCACAATTATTCTAATTTCATGCCAGCTCAAATAATCAGCATATCGGTAATCAGGGTTTTTTTCCCCTCTCGGGCCCCACCATGCGATGAAAACAGCTTTTTGAGTAAAACTGAAACATAAACAAACCAGTTCCCTCGAAGCGCTGCTTTAAATATTCAATGCTGTCTTTGTGGCGCCGTTGGTGACCCATACAGACGTCAGTCTCCCTCTCCCAGTACTGAGGATCATCTGCTGTGGCTCTGATCATCCAGTCCTGTTTGGGTTCTGCTCTCCTGGTGTTACTGTCATAGTGAAACATCTGAACTTCATCAACCAGCCCAACAGACACAAACTCTGGGAAGTTTGGGACTCCAGAAGACGCAGTGTAGAAATACTTCAGAGAGTGTTTCACTGCAAAACAGTTAATAAAGGATTTCAGAATTTTTCATTTCTGAAATAAATGTTTTCAATAATACACCGTATAATAAGCCATTCAATTCCCTGAGGAGAAATACAGATTCTCTAACAAACAACACTAACTCTAACAAACCAAACACCATAACATACTCTATACCAGGGGTGCCCAAATTCTTCTCAGTTGAGGGCCAAAAATGGCTCGGGGTGGAGGGTCACGGGCCAAAATTAGACATTCATATTGCAGTGCATTAAATTAAATATGCCTATGATATAACTGTGCATAAACAGTCATACAAAGTAAAAGAAGAAAATCAACACTGCTGTTTATTGAAAGCAGAACAATAATAATACAGGCCTGTGCCTTCAACAACATGCCTCTATGAGACCAAAATATTATACTCTCCACTGCCTTGAACAATCATTTTTAAAGTAATAGAAATATAATTGTACAAATAAATACAATGGTATTTTAACACCGACCCACCAAACTCGCGGACTTTGTCTGACACAAGTGCAGTGAGACCTGCTCTCTTACCGACCATAGCCGGGGCTCCGTCTGTCGTGATACCTGATAGGTTTTCCCACTTCAAGCTGTTCCTATCCATAACTCGCTGCACTGCCATAAAAACATCTGTGCCTTTTGTTGTCCCTTTCAGTGTTTCAAGGCCCGCGAGTTCCTGACACACTTCAAAGTCCTCATTCACTCCTCGCAGAAAGACTAACAGCTGAGCTGAGTCCGTGCGATGGAGAAGGCAGAAAATCGACCTGCTCTCTGGACAATTTGGCCTCGAATGTCTTCTTCTTCTTCTTCCGACTCTCTGCTTACAAATCAAACATACTGCCACGGAATCAATCTCTGTGTTTTTAAACTTTCTCTTATCACAGTGCCACTGCCTCCCGCGCTCCATCACAGCATCTTCTCACCCTCAACAGCGCCACCCTAACCGCAATGTAATACAATGTTAATTTGTGGTCAGTAGAAGAAGTGCAACAATAAATAAATAATAAAAGAGATATTCCGACTGCTGGCACATAATAATAGTTAAAAGTATTAACAATTCGAGCATCGGCAGCGGGCCAAAAATAATCGGTCCTAAATTGGGCAGCCCTGCTCTATACTACATACTAATACTATATATACTATAAAGGACAATACAAATGAACACCCACTATACTGTAATGATATAATGATGAAATAATAAACACTTAACAAGGAATTAATTTCTACTAATGAGGCCTGTAATGCAGTGTTGTTTTCTTAAGGGAACAATCTGTAATTCAAATGCACTCCATCACTGAACAAACAAAAACACCAGAATAAAACCTGCCATAACTCCTTAAGTAATTGGCAGTTCTTATAGACATACGTAACAAACTGTGATGTACTGTGTGTTCTGACAACCTTTCTAACAGAACTAACATTAACTGTTTCAGTAATACCTAAAATCTAATTATAATGTTCATATAAACAGCAGCAAGATCAATTAAAGGTCCAGCGTGTAGGATTTAGTGGTATAGTTGCAGATAGCAGCTCCATCGTTTCACCCTCCCCTTCGTGAAACTATTAACTTAAATTAATTAAGTATTATTAAGGAATATAAAGCATTGGATCAGGACTTGGTATTGGCAGATATTACATTGGGAAAAAACCTGATTTGGACATTTTCATTGTGGTATCGAGAATCGTGGAATTTCCCCGGTATTGGTATTGACTAGTAAATTTCTGGTATCGAGACATCCCTAAAACGGTCCCAACAATTCTTTAAAAAAGTCCTTTTGCCCTTAAGAATCAGCCATTGGCCTATTCAGGGTCTGTTAACATTTTTCCAAGAGAGGGCGATTAGGACGTCTTGCTTATAGTAGGCACATATCAAGGAGGGTTTGTTTACTTCACTCTGCAAATATGGGGTGCCCGAGTGCAATCCCCAAATAAAAACCTTTGGATCAGGGAGTAACTTAAGAGATACAGTAAAATCTCAGCCATAGGATTGTTGATTTCCACCTAAAGCTCACATATTTTGGTACAGTATCAAGACAGAGGACAAAGCCCCCCCTCTCCTGGTTACACTTAATGCACGTATTAGATTACTAATATCAAATGTGTGTAAAACAACTGGAGTAACATAAGTACACATTATTTATACAGTACCACCTTGTGTCAGATATTAGCAGATTGGGTTCAGGCCTTGAAACAGGCATCCTGCCACTCGTCAAGTGTAATTTGCATTTGTAGATCCTCCCTCCAGACTTTTAACCTTGATTCAGATGATTCTGTACAGCTCATATAAAGTGTCAAAGGTACAGCCAGACCCTAACAGATTGTGTATGAGAGAGCAGTTTGGAGTTATAATTTTCTCTAAAGCAGAGAGGGATAGTATTACTAGTGAATTGTCTGCCTGAAATAAAACTTCTGATCTGTTGGTATCTGAAAAAAAAATGCATTTTTGGGATGTTGTGTTTTCTTATCAGTTCCTCAAATTACATGATGACTCCATCATTAGGTCTAAAGACATCTTTGAATTCTGCGAGACCTTAATCCACACAAAGACGAAAGCCTCCATCCAAGCTACCAGGACCAAAATCAACATTACCCTCATGACATTTAACCAAATATTTTTGCATGCCAGACATTAATCATATTAAAAACTATGTGGTTGGTTTGTTTTCTAAGTTTCTTAAAACCTGCAGAGTTCATATACAAGTGTAGAAGTAGACTACTCGATCTTCTGCTTCAATCTTATAGTGGTTCTGAACTGGCAGCCCAGTAATTCACTTGAACTGTGCATCAAGTGCAGGTGTTGTGAACATGTCTTTAAAAATGTGATCAGTATTTTTCTTGAATGTAAGACTGCTGTTGATGTATGTACCAAAGTATTTAAAATCATTAACTAGCCCATTAATCATTATTGGCTTACTTACTGATATTTATTTCTATGGTGCTTGTAAAACACCAGTTCTGTAGAGTTAACATGACTAAAATATAGAGTCTGTTAATGTTAATGTAAAATAAGAACCCGTACTGCTGTAAGGTGAATGTAGACTACATGTAGTATGGAGGATGACTGGGTTCACCTTAGGACTGTCCTCTAATAAGAGACTGGAGTATTATTATTAACACATTGTTGAGGATGAATAATGTCACCGTTACAAATCCAGATATTATCTAAATAGGAAAGATCGACTTCTTCAAATAGTTGGTGGAACACTTTTGATATAGTTTAGTATGCTACGTCTATTTGTCGGTGACCACTGTCGTTTGTTTAAAATGTTCAATATAAAACAAGATCGATGGATTAGTTTCGCTTTCGCACTATGTACTATTACTCTAAGTGCATTTATAAACGTTTTAGTAAATCTTACTTGCAGATGCAGCCGCGTGGCCGAAGAACAGCAGAAAAATACTCTTCATCATCTTGATTTAAGGAGAAAATTAAAGTTTAATTTCATTTGAACTCCATGGCTGCCAGTGAATGAACTGAGCATGCGCAGTAGCTTCATTCTGAGCATTCAAACTTGGTTGTGGTGAAGAGTGAAACCGAGTTTCGTCAGAATGGATACATAAAGGAGACAAACAGAAACATTTTAACTTGTACGCAGGTATACAGAGTCTGCCCACTTATTTTTCACCTGGCATTGTTTATACCCACTTCTAAATCCCCTCTGATGTACATCATTCAGTAGTGTTCTGCAAGCTCATTTTTTATTGCAGAGGCCTGACATTTTCAAGAGTGGATGGAATAAGAAATACTTACTCAAATGTATAATAATGTAGTCGACTCACCCTGTAGTCTGCTGGCCTGTACTGATGGTAAAATGTGCACCTCATCTGTGTCTGATGTTAATTTTAATGATGATACTTACTGCCTGAAGTCCAGCAGCAGTAAGTTCAGTGACAATGTGCAAAAACTACTGGACCATTTATGAGTGAACTCAATATGCAAGAGTAGTCTTACATGTCACTGTTTATAAGACATTTATCCGTTGCTGGACAGGCTGCTTTTTTTTTATTGGTGCATAAATTAGTATACTCACTTCTCCAGGCACTACACTGCTGCCTATACGGATACATTTTACATTTGACTCAATGCAATGTACCAAACAGTTCAGATAGGCAAGACAAGTTACATAAATTTCATGTTGCAACTTAGTCTGAACACACTTAAAAGAACTACTAAAAACTGAATAAATTAAATTAAAATAATTGATTAGTCAAGTAGTCACAGCTGAACAGCAGTTGTGGAAGAAGTACTTAAACATGTAACTTGTAAACTATGTAAAACTAATATATTACAAGTAAAAGTCCTACATTAGAAATCCTATTTTACTAAAAGTATTGTCAGCAAAATGTCCTAACAAGAGTAAATGTACTCACTATGTAACTGTAACTGATATTCAATATGTATGACATCATAAGATTGTCGACACTCAGTGTGTAAGCAACATTTTAGCTGCTCAATGACAAATCAAAGTTTATTATAGCCTAATTTACCTAAGATATGTAGTTGGTTTATCTATTTCATCATATACAGTTTGGTAGTTTAATACAGTGGTTCTCAACCTGGGATCGGGGCTCCTCTAAAGGGTCACAAGTTAAAGATCAAGTGTTGTATAATATTATCTCATTGAGCCTTGAATAGTTAAAGTTGCCGTAAGTAACAAACACAATGCAAAACCTTCTGAATGTCTCTCTGCTGCTCATATAGCCCCACTAAACACACAGCAGAAGGAGCCCAAAGGGACAGTTTCAACAAACATTACAAAAAGTTATTTTCATAAAAGTTACCTACTGCCGCTTTAATGAACTCATCTGAGAAGTTTAGAGAGGAGGAACTGCCAACAACGCTTAGACATTTAAAACATGACAAAGTGTCACAACTTATACTATTTTGTAAGAGGATTCATACCAAAAGGTTCAACACTACTGTTTTAATCTTTAACAAAGTTTATTTATCTTATGCTTTTTATGTAAAATCTTAGTAACTTAAACTGTCAAATTAATGCAGTGGAGTAATATATGTACCTCTAAAATGTAGTAGAAGTATATAAATGTGATAAAACTGTATATATGTATATATCAAGTATAGTACTTGAATAAACGTGAGTATTCTCACTGCATGACAGCCACAGGAAGCGGTTAGGACAGACACTGATGCTAGTCTGTGTAGGACTGCGGCAGAGCCAGATGTTGTAAACATTTGGGGCTTAACCCAAAACTAGACTGGCCCAGGGGCTTTTTTCCTCTGTACAGCAACAATATGCATATATACTTTTTAAGCCAGCTGAGATAATAGGATGCCTATTAATCTGTTCATCATCTAATTGTTCTCCAACTGTATTCATCATCCTGAAACTGTAACACAGCAAATGCTGACTAATTTTAACTCCTGCCATCTAAAAAGAGGCAAAAATGTACAAACACAAAAAACCATTTGTTATGTTCATAGTCCATAAACTGGTAAGCTCGCTACACTGTGCCACACCCTTCACTCTGAGAACACTTGTGTGCCGCCATTTTGTGTCTTCCTTTGTCGAGCCTCTCTCTGTCGGTCACTGCAGAGCAACGAGGGCGTCAATGTTTACTTCCTAACACACAGACCTTATTATTTTACCAAATGTAAAGTATATAAGACAGAATAATAAAAGAAGATACATGTTTTAAATTGGACTATTTATTGTTTTGTAAATGCAGAAAAACACTCGAATTATCTGGACACTGAACCCTCCCAGAATGCAACTTGATTAACTCTTTTTGTGTCTCTGTCAGACCTTGCTGCTTTATTTCTGATATGATGTAACTGCAACTATGGAGGGAGCGCCTCAACACAATAGTTTCCTTTTCAGGAGTCTTGTATGGTGTTGGAGCTCCTCCACTGGACAGAAACAGAACAGCCCTCTGGGAAACCACATGATGAGTCTGTTAGGTTTCATTTCTCTGTGTGACACAGAGATCTGGCATGATCTGCAAATTGTGGCACACACAGCAGGAAGAAGGAGGTTCCCTGCAAAGGCATCAATGCTTCTTGTCCTCCTTGTTTTGCCGGATTCCTCTGGGTGTTTAAGAAAATACTTTCTGTAGATGAATGATGTTAGACTGAAAGGTCATAAATAAAGTTCACTTGCCTTTAAACATATAGAAACGTTACTGTAGGAGGAAAAATAACCCATTTGGTGAATATATTAAAAAGGAAATTAGTTGCATTAAGTGGTAGATAAAAACAAAGGTTGTATATGTGATAGTGGTTCGTGCATCACTTCATTGTTTCTGACCTCTCAGCCTGGATTATACTCCTGAAAGCAACCTCACCTGTTCTCTTGCTTCACACTAATCTCCTTTTTCTGCATTAAATTCTGCAGCTGTGCACACTCTAACCTACTGCTTATGATCAAATATCAATTGCAGTCATTTTTAGCTGATAAAGAGATCGAGGAAGCAAAGAAAGGACACATAAAAATAGTCGAGACCAAGGTATATAATTTTTCTTTTGGTGTCGCTCAATGTTGATTAATGTGGCTTTATTTTGAAATTATAAAATTATTAATGACCTGAATTATTATGTTATATCCTGTTTGAGTCCATATCCAATAATTTATTTATTTATGTGTTAGTATGTTCCAGTTCAGGTCTACTCACTGGTCTTGGCACAAATCAGGTCAACTATCAGAACAGACAATATAATAAAACACAAGATAATTTCCATAAAACAATATTTGACCTCCAGCAGAAAGAGAGTCAGAGAGCTTGTTGAACACAAACATCAGATGAGGTCAGCTCTGTCCTTCAGGCTAAATGCCTCTGAGCTCATTTGGAGCTGTGGACGCTGAAAACTGCTTGAACAAGAGAAATGTAACACCGCTGTTGATGTTTGAACACCTGATGCTGTTTTTCATTTTGCTCTCGCTTTGGCGTCGTTTATTCTCTGTTTCAATCCTCATTTATTGTTTCTGAAGCACTTTATAAAAGGTTGTAGAAACTTTTTCTTCTCAGTTCTTCCACTGAGGTAATTGTATTGATGTTTATTAAACAAACAAAGCAAAATGTGTTTAGTTTAGTTAGCAGTGTGACAGCGCCCCCTGTGGACAAACTATGTATCTGCCTTTAAACTGGATGTCACCTTCTGTTGGTGTCAGTTTGTAAAAACATCCTGATAATCAATGACTCACACACAAATTAACATTAAACTTTAAACAAGCAGCTTTTGTGGAAACAAACTCCGTCTAATCACTCAAACAGCTGCACAGATTGGAAATCATCTCTTCACCATTACAGAGTTTATAACTTCTGTACAGGACACAGAGACACAGCAGCATCCCAATAACACTGTGTTAAAGGGGAACTCCTCTCATGTTGTCTAATGTGTGTCAGAGAGTTTGTAGATTTGCCAAATAAAGAAAATCACTTAAGATTCAGTTGATCGTCACAAGTTTATACACATACAAGCAAAGTATCTGAAAAGAAATAAATCATAAACTGATACATGTGGTTTAATTTTTCTTGTCTCAGTGCACCTCAATCAATCTATCTGACATAAACTTTTAGCTATCTGACTATAGTGAGAGACCACAAACTCCCACTGAAGGTACCCAGAATGGTGACACAGACTCACAGAAAGCAAAGAGAATTGACCGTTTCACTTCACGTGTAAGATTTATTTGCATCAACACAGGATACAAGCAAACCGAGTTGTCTCGAGAATCAACTAACTAGAACAAAGAGAATCACTCTGTTGTATGCCTCTTTCTCAAGGGTGTCTATTGGTGGCATCTAATGTCTGATAAACAGTAGTCATAACACATCTGATGCCCTACTCTCCAGGAGACAGCCTTGGTCTTTGGAATGTGCTTAGCTCATGGCACACTGAATAACAACTCTCCTAACTAGTGTGAGACAACCAGAGTGTGAATGCATGAGGATTAACATACATGAACATAAAATATTATACTGTAAGCCTGTAAAATTAAACATAAAATAGCACAACATAATGTAGTTTGCTTCATGTTCGCAGAACCTTATTTCTGAATGCATTTTCCCACTACAATGTAAATGTGTTTGTATCCTTTATTTCTTCAATTAGTCCAAATGAACTACACATCTAATTTTCAATAGATTCCTGAGCACATAAGTATATAAAAACAGACAAACAATTTTAAAATGTACAATATTGATTGTAATAATTACAATAAAGCAATAATAGTAACACTGCAGAATATATAATAAATGCAACAGCAGAAGCTACAAATCATCATCACCAAATAAATTGCATTCATGACCAGTCACACCTAAAATCAATCAGGGTTTTGATTTGATTTCTGAATTGAATTTCATTGCATATAGTAAGTAAGTGTGAAGGTACACTGCCAGTCATCCCAATGTACGCTACAAGGAATCTAAAATCCATCTTTCCCAGTTCAGTTCACCAATAAGTGATGTCAAATATAGGGGCAATGTTTGGAGCAGCCCTTTATAAAGAAATAAGAATAAATGTTCTCTAACGCTGTTATCTTCTGATGGAGAGACCAACCCACTTCTTGATAAATACAGTGCAGAGTGCTGCAGATGTCTCCAGTTATAAATCAAAGGGCTGAATGTTCGACAGCATTTAGGGGGACAAGAGTGGATGTTGCTGCATGTAAATCACATAACTGAGTCTATATGTACATTTGCATTATGAACATTTACAGATTAAACTGTATTACACATCTTGCTACAACTGTCACCAAAGAGAAAGAAAGAAAAAGTCATCTTGAATTTGTTTAACACATTAATATCAGAAATGTGAACAAATATTTATGAACGTATCTCTATTTACATATTTAAATACATTCAACATTCTCGTCACTCTTTGATTGACACAGTTCATCATTTACTCTAATTATGAACATTTTATACATTATGTGTCATCAAGGTTACACACTCATATGGATGGTGTGTAGTTTAAATAAGGCAAAGATCCACTGTGGATAGAAACATTGTGATTTGATGTTCAATATAGATTTAAATATAGTTTATGGTGTGGAGGATCTACTTCAGCCTTGTTTGAGCTGCATATGCCAATCTGTGTATCACTCAACACTGCTACAATATTTCTTTAACTGGAGTGAAGCAAACGTTTACCAGTAAACTCTAATTTAAAGTCTAATTATCTGCTGGTACAACTTGGATTGTTGTAAAATGTTAAACATAAATATTGATTAGTGCAGCTTTAAAGCCTCATTGCACTGCAACTTTTTTGCAACATGACTCCTAATGATATTCAATCCATTTTAGTGGTTTGGTGACCCTATTGTTTATGTTTGTGTATTTTACACATTGTGTCTTTACTTTAATAAAACTTGTTTACTTCTCTTGCAAAGCAGAAGCTCAGAAGTTCAATGTTGCAGATTTCTTATGGAGTGGGAATCACAGACCTCTTCAATCTGTCACTCGCTTTAATCTGGACAAATAAATAAACATTCATAAATGAACATGAACATGATGTATCAATAATGTATAAAAACGCTTTTAACAAGAGATATTTCAGACAGACAGAACCATTACTTACCTTTGATCAATGGTGTCTAGCTGTCTTGACTTCCTGTTGAAGACCCTGATTCTGAAGAGAAAAAATAAAAAAAAGTGTGCATAATCTTTGTGCATAAGACAAATAGAATTAAGATACTAAATATATTATAACAATGAAAGGTTGTTCAACTTTTACACACAGTATAAACCACTCTGGACATGAGCATCAATCTAAGTATAACATTTTAAATACAATAAAATCAAGTTCTACTTACTTTGATGGCATTCAGCTGAAATAAAAAGAAAAGACATGATTTTAAATGTCACAGTTACAAATACCAGAATATTTTCTCTCCACTAAATCTGACAGAATCTCCTGCTCACTTATATCAGTTAAAAACAGTTTTTATCTTTTCTGTTTCAATCTTTATTTCTTTTTCTATTACTTCCCTCTAACATCATTATGGTTCATATTATCATGATACAGTGGCTCTGAGTCTGGTGGCTGCTTCACACTGTGGTTTGCAGTGAACTGAGACTTGTTTCAAGTTTATAAACTGGATCAAGAACATATATGATGACATTTCTAGAGGCTAAATAATATAACCATACTCAAATGTTGTTTAGGTTTTCTGTCTAATTAATTAAATACCTGACAAATTAAGATGTCATCATCACATCCTGTAAATTCAACTTTGTCATAAAGAGTTCATGTTATTGATTTCCCCCACTAGCCTAATACAACCAGAGATATTGCTGTATAACCTCTAACAGTATACATTGTGCACACCAGCCAACCTCAGGCTAGCACACATTACAGTTCTATTAATACATCCTAGATTTTGTCTGGACAAAGTTATTATTCATTATTCCCTCGACCATTGACTGATGAAAGTCTGTGATGGAAAATCAACATTTTACAGATCCAGTGTCTTTGATGAATTTAGGGAACTCATCAACATTAACACAGACTTTGTAAACTAGAGAGCAGGAGACATGGCTATTAGTCACTAAACCATCAGAAGGCTCTGTGGCTCTGAGCCGTTCATCCTATACCGCTGGTTGCTTCACATTTTTATAAATTAAGAAATAAACCTTGATCAACTTTATCACTCAGACTCTTTTGAAAATCAACTCCAAATCTAAAATCTAAAACACAGTAAAACAAGTTATACTTACAAAATTGTAATATATATATACGCTTTCTGAAAATAAATTGTTTCAGTTGTCAAAGCTACAAATACAAAGATACAGATTCCCTCCTCCCACTGAGTCAAACTGTTTAAAATTCCTTTCTACCTTTCCGATTTAGATTTTACTTCATCACATGATCAGTTCTCTCTTATATAACTATAGTACTGTCATATTATTGTTTCACTTAGCCGGAAAACCATTAACTCAAACAGACTAAAATCAAAGAAGAATTGGAAAAGTCAGATTTGGAAATCCTTGGTTTTCTTACCATTCCTCTTTTTGTAAACCATTAATCCAACGACAGCAATGAGGACAAGAGCAAGAACAACCACTGCAGCAATGATGATGACAGTTATGTCGATGGTCTTCTCTGTTGAACATAAAAACAAAACCAACAAAAATCACAACCTGTACAGAAGAAGCAGTAAATTACTTTCACTATTGTAAAAATGTCAATTAAAATATACTTTCATTATCTGATTTCTGGTAACTGCAGATCATTTGAAATCAATTCTACTCCAATAAAAACTACAATAAAGAAACAACAAGGCAAAACCAGCTTTTTTCAAAATGATCAAACCTAAAGTCTACTTGAGTTTAGTAAAGTATAATAACCATGAAATAAAATCATGTTTGGTTTGTTGCATTATTGACATTGTACTGTGTCATAAAGACGTTTTCTAAAGATATTTCTTGGGCTCAGTGATTGGACAGCTGAAGATAGACAGGAAAGGGGGAGAGAGAGGGGAGACGACATGCAGCAAAACGCCACAGGTTGGAATCGAACCCAGGCCGCTGCTACAAGGACTACATGGTCCATGCGCTCTACCAGGTGAGCATGCATCCTGCATTTCTATATTGGTATTTAAATCTTTCATCATTAGCACAATCTAAAGCTTTAAAGTTGCTAAACATATTCACTTTAATTTCACCACAGAGCTTCAAGTCCTGATGAAAATCAGCAGACAAGTAGAAATGTAAGTGGTATTAGATACAGTTAGAAAATATTACATATTATACAGCTGTTAATGACCTACAGTATCATCAGGGCAGTGCCATGACTAATATAAGAGGTGGTTATGTGTCACAGAGATATTTTAGACAACAGAATATTAGATCCTACAGTAAATTAGGTTTTCCTGTTGAATGCAACAGTGGATTCAACTGCTCAGCATCCTGAATAAAAACCATTTGGTAGTTGTTGGAATAAGATCATTTTTGAACTGTATAAGTTGCTGTCCCATAAAATGTGGAAAAAAATAATAAGAAAAACTAAAAGAAAATAGTATATCGTCAAGGTAAAATGATGAACAAACTGTTAATTTTGCATTAAGTTTCTATATTTTATTTAAGTTAATTTCTGAATCACATTGAAATTCCGGATTCATTCAGAATAATGATTTCAGGTCAAATTAGAGTTTTTCTCCCCTGTGCAGAAAGGCAGACTGTGTGTATGTGACTCGTACAACAGGTCTGAACCATTGGTGAACTTCATTTGTATCTAAGAGAAAATTCTAAATATGAGAAAATTTGTGTAAACCACATAAGAAGAAATCAGTTGTACCAGTGGTTCTTGTATTAGGTCTGTTATGTGATAAAAAAAACAGTAAAATGGAGGTGGAAGGGAGTGAGCAGCTTTCTGTAACTACTCTGATATATCTCTTAATCTTACACACTGGTCCTTTACATTAAAAAGTTGTAATTAATGTTTTTGGGATGTCATCAGCTTAAACTAGGAAAGGACAAAGTTCTACTCAACACAAAAACAAGGATTTGCTGATACTCTCGTTGTGTACATTGGTTAATTAATAGTATTAATAGTTAATTAAAAGTTTTACAATTTTATGGAGAAACAAAATAGATGAAAGAAACTGATAACAAAACAATATACACAAACAAAACTTCTTGTCCAACACAGATAAAAAAAAATATTTTACCTTCATTGGTCCTGATCTCTGCTTTGTCCAGTTTGGTGACGATGTCGTTCTTCCCACCATAGAGCTGAAACACACAGTCGTACCTCCTCCAGTCTTCAGGTGTGACTGATGAATGAAGCTTCAGGTCAACACTCATCTGGAAGGATCCATCGTGGTTGAGGAGGATCTCTCCGTGTTCCACGTTCTCATGAAGCTCCTCTCCATCTTTCCTCCAGATGAGTGTGGCACTGTCAGGGTAGAAACCTGTAGCGTGGCAGCTGACTGGAGAGGAGGAAGTCTTCTGGAGGAGAGACACTGAGGGAAGGTCTGGAGAGTAAACAGAGAGAGAATGTTTATAGTATAAACTATTTAGACTGTATTAACTTATATTAACATTATAATTTCTCTTTGATGTAATGTAGTTTAAATGTTTTTGTAACAAACACTAAATACATGTATGAAAAGCAGATAAACCTCATTGAAGTCTACTCGACGCAGACCAACTGTCGCGCGACAACGTGACGTCACGGGAGCACCGTGACTATCTATACTTGCGCGTGGTGGTCGCGGCACTAGTTGCAGTCTTCTCCTGAACAGAGTGTCGCTAGTGAGGAGAGGCTACCGACGTTGCTATTTCTACGCACTAGAAGAAGAAAAAGTTCCGGCAACTCTGGGCGTCTCTGTGCTCCTTTATTGAAGGATCGTACAGATCGTCCATCTTCCTGTTTCCGGTTTGTCGCGCGCAGCTGGAAAAAAAAAAAAGTGGTGCGCGCCAACGAGATCTACGTCATTTTGACGTCACAGTGTCGTGCGACAGCTCGAGTGCGTCGAGTATACTGGGCGATAGAAGAAGATTGAAGAGAGGTAGATTAGAAAGTGAGGACAATTAGTGTGAGACAGAGTGAGTCTGTATGTTGGTGATATTTATTGTGATGTTACTGTTGGTTAGAAACTGAAGAGGAAGATGAAGATTGTTGTGTCCATTAAACTACATCAGGTCATGTGATTCTACCTGTTCTCAGCAGAGAGCTCCTCCCATAGTCCACATACTTCTTCAACCAGTTAATGCAAATCTGGGTGAGGTAGTTTTTTCTCTGTGCTATATAAGCTTTGTCATTATCCCACTTGTTTTTGGTGATGACAGCCTGTGGTATTGGAGCGATGCATGTCTCTGTCTTCAGGTCAAATGCTATGAAGTCTTCTCCATCATAACCATACTGCATAAAACCATTAACCTCATCAGACTCATCATCCCACTCACAGCCGTACATCCACTGGAAAATGTGGACACCTGAGAGAGAGACAGACAGAAACAGTATTAAACCAGAGTGAGATCACAGCACAGTCTTCTATCATCAGTTGATATCACATCTTTACCACAGAGACACACTGATCCACAGACACCAACACAGAGGATCTACACCTCCTGCTGTTATTGGCTCGATGGAAGACGCTCACAGACAATCATCATCTGGACAGTGTGGACGTCTTAGAGAGACACAGAGAAGCAAAGACTGCTGGGAAACAGAGTGACATCCTAACACAGTTCATATCCTCTTTGTTACCACAGAGACACACTGACTCCACTGAGACCAACAGTTTATCTCCACACACACACACACACACACACACACACACACACACAGATTAAACCTGATCCTGGTCTGAACATTAACACCCACTGAGACCCTGCAGCCAGTGGACCAGTCCAACAATATCCTCTTCCTGTGAGAAACTACAGACTGTCCTGAAGCTGCTCTAGAAGCTTCCACTGAAGGACAGTTTCAGTCCAGGATGAGTTCCCAGACTCCAGCTGCTCAGCCAGGACAGTGAGTCCTGTTCAGCACTGTGTTACTACAACTGGTCAGAATAAGGCAGAGACCATCAGGACCATTATGGAGACTGGGAGGCAGTCTGTGTGTCCTGATTGGTCCATCCATCAGTCAATCAATCAATACGACCAACAGCTAGTTTCCTCCTGCAGATGTTGTCTTGATGCTGCTGATGGGACGGACCAACACACTGTGGTCAGTACAGCAGAGTTCATCTAATCTAATCTGTTGTTCTACTGAATATTTACGGCTCAATTTAATCATTATTTTCATTATCAATTAGTTATTGATTAATCGATGTGAAAGCTGCATGCTGCCTGTTACGTCATTCCAGCCTTTGAGTCTGCTTTTTTTTTTTTAACTTCTTAACTTTTATTCTCTTTTCGTTGGTTGTTATTTGTTCACTGTGACTCTATGAAGTCCTGTCCTCTCTAACGATGTTGTCTGAGAGAGTTTTTGTGTTTTATTTGGTGTTTTAATGCCGCTTCCACCGGGACACGCTGCCGTTGTTTACTCCGGAGAACAGCTGATGGCGCTAATGGCGGCCGGTATAGTGGCCAGAGCCGCTGATTGACCACCTGAACTCTGGAGGAAACACACCGGGGGATGAAGAGGAGGGAAGCAACGTCGGGGAAGAGAGGAGGGTGGAGACGGGACGGGTTTATGGAGAAGATTGAAGCCGAGTCTCCCCTCTGTTGTTATGGTGAATGTACGGTCTCCTAGCAACAAGATGAACGACTAACGGCTTTACCGCGGAGCCACGCGGAGAACCGAGTATATATAAATATATTTATTCTTAATATATGTATGTCTGTTACATATGGAGTAATGTAACGAAAGTAACTTCCCTCTGGGATTATTAAAGTATGTCTGAGTTACTTTTTTATTTTTTGTTTAAAGTCAGAAAATTGTGAAAAATGTCGATCACAAGTTCCCAGAGCCAAAAGTGAAATCTCCAAATGTCTCCTTTTATATTATGGGATGGACAGACTGTATCAGTACAGCAGAGTTAATATAATATAATCTGTATTCTACTACATATTGTGGGCTCAAACTAATTATTCCTGTCATTATTGATTAGGTAATGACTATTTATTCTGATTAATCAATAAATCGTTGATGTTGTAAAATGTTCAGAAACAGTGAAAATGTCCATCACAAGTTCCCAGAGACTAAAGTTAAATCTTCACATTGATCCGTTGGTCCGACCCAGTGCCGGTCCGTGGCATAGGCAGTATAGACTAATGCTAAGGGCGCCGTCCATCTAGGGGCCGCCACGATGGGTGTAACTGCCCCTGTCGCCACTTTATTTTCTGTATTAGCACTTTTTATTATTTGTTTCTTCTGAATTGTATGTTTACAGCGAGACGGAACTAATTATGTGTTGTAGTGTTTAAGTACAAAGGTTTACAAAGAAAACAGACAGAAGCAGAGACGGGAGATTTAAAAGGATGTTTAGCAGCTCTTTGTGATGAGCAGCGATGAGGTTTGTTGTTGTTTATTTGCTGTGACGCTGTTTGTGTTTACATGTGTCAGTTTTAGTGAATAATAAATATAAAGTGTCTCAGCTGTTTATGGGCTGGATTATAACATTAACAATATTAATTATTATATATATTTATTGTTATTATATTATTATATTTCTCAGGGACATTTGTAAAGATTAGATCTATTCAGCAGCTGTTTACATTTGTTTACATTGTTATTTGTATTTATTATTGTTTAGTTAACGTTTGCTCTGCTTGTAACAGTCAGTCAGATGCTTTTCCTTTCACACACCTTTATATATTAGAGTTGTAAGCCTTGTTGTTTGTTGTGTTACAGTTCAGTATTGTCTAAAGTGTGTTTATAGTGTTAAACTTTACATCCATGTTAAAGTGCACATCATTAATGTTAATACATTCCCATATGTTATATTATTCTGCAGTTTACTGATTCTTTACATTCTGATAATCAGCATTTCACTGTAATGACAATAACATTCAATCTAATATAATTTGTATATCAGAAGAAATTGCACTGTATATCATTCATGTACAGTACAGTGAAAGTAATGCATCTCTTAGGTTTTTCATTTTTATTATTTCATTTTATTCCTGGAATCATTTCTGTTATTATTAGACTGTAACACCGAACTCTTCCTGTTACAGAGGCTGCTGCTGAAAGAAGATTCTCCGAGCTCAAACTCATTAAACCTTACCTGAGATCTGCTACGATGCAAGAACTCAGTGGACTTTCCATCATAAGCATCAATCATGTGATCTCAGATCAGTTGTCATATGATGATGTTGTAGATGACTTTGCTGTAAGAGAGACTCGGAGAGTACAACTGTAGCAGGGGATGTGAGGATGACTAGGTGGTGGTGTAGTTTAATTTATTTTATCACTTGTTTACAGTTTTTATTTTGTAGGTAGTTCAATTTATACTTTGTGTTTATTAATTTATATTTCTTGTATTATTTATTTCTAATTTATTATTTTCTTGTTAACTGTTTTGATTGAGCAACTTGTTTCTCTAAAAATAAAATAAAATGTCAAATAAAATCAGTAAATTCTCTTATTTGAGAAACTGGAACTAGAAAATGTTTGTTTCAGTTTAATAAAATAATTCAATTATTATTTAATTATCAAAATTATTGTGAATTAATTCCCTTTAATCAACTAATCTATGAATAGACTAATGGTTTCAGCACTATATATGGTCATGTAGAGTTAATCTAAGCTGTAGTTCTACTATATATATACTGTATATTATGGGATGGACACAGTGTGGTCGGTACAGTAGAGTCGTGCTGTTAAACTGTTTAAACCTCTGATCTGAATGAGACATTTACCTATAGCTACCTATACTTATGTAGCGTTTCTCTCGAGCCACCAGGGGCCTCCAGGAGCCTCCAGGGGCCACCAGGAGCCACCAGGAGCCTCCAGGAGCCACCAGGAGCCTCCAGGGGCCTCCAGGGGCCACCAGGGGCCACCAGGAGCCACCAGGAGCCACCAGGGGCCTCCAGTGGCAGGTTAGTGTTATTGTTAGCTACATTAGCCTATTTAGCAAACAAAACTTTACATTGCACACACAACAACACCGTGCAATGTATAAATTGGTGACCGGACTAAAGCAGCAATGTAAACAGTGTGTAAGAGGATTTAAAATCGACATTAAAACGACCAACGTAGGACAAATACAAAGAAAACACATCTCAATATGGGCGCAGCCATCTTTGTTTTGCGGGTCGTACGTGCCCCCCGTTGAGCTCGGTGAACTCTGAGGAGCCCCGAGTGGGACGGCTGACATTAATTAATATCTCAGCGTGGTGTCTCGCGATATATTGCCGTATCGATATTTTTACCCACCCCTAATGTACGTCAATAAAACACACTTAATAGTGTGTGTGTGTGTGTGTGTGTGCGTGTGTGTGTGTGTCAGTGTGAGTGTGTGTGTGTGTGTGAGTGGTAACATCTGTTTACTAAAATACAAGATAAAAATATAAACAACATTTTATCAGTAGAAAGTGAAACATAAACAAACCTCCAGTTTGGTTGAAGCGCTGCTTCAAGATTTCAATGTTGGCTTTGAAGGTCTGCTGGGCACCCAGAGAGGCCTGAGTGCTATACTCCCAGTAGTCAGCTTTGCCTTCTGTGACTCTGCTCATCCAGTCCTGTTTGGGTTCGGCTCTCCTGGTGTTACTGTCATAGTAATCTATCTGAACTTCATCAACCAACCCAACAGCCACAAACTCTGGGAAGTTTGGGACTCCAGAAGACCCAGTGAAGAAATACTTCAGAGAGTGAGTCACTGTAAGAAAACATTAATGTAACATTTCAGTTTTATAAATCACTGAACAATGTTATTGTCCTGCACACAGAATCAAAAAGAACTACAGTACATTCAAACATGACTATAAAGTTTGTTTTAAAAATACAAACAAGAAAATAAATATCTGTAACTGACTTTAATATATCTTGATTTATGGATTTGTGTAAACTAAATAATTATATTTAAGTTAAACTGACAATATCTTTGATAATTAATATTTTGTATAAAGTAAAATATTCTGTGTTTTATTACAATCCCATAAGAAATATTAACAGACACAGCTCTATATTTTATAAAGTTCTCTTAAGTAATATTTTTATATATTATTATATATATTTATAGTTTATTTTAGTTATAATTCATAAACTGAATTAAAAGCAGATTTTTATTAAATTAAATATCCTTTGTTAAATTCCAGCCTTTTCTCCATCATGAACTGATATTAATTCACTTTTTGTCCTGATTCTTAAAGTTTATTCTGGGTTGTTTTTTAAATATCAACAGAGTTTATTTGCTGCAGGTGATTTTAACCATTAAATTATCGTCTATTTCAGGATCCTTCACTGTCCTCTGCTGTCTGAGTTCATGTCGATCTTATTTCTGTGTTAAACTGCACTATTATTACGATTATTAACAGGAAATATATTTATTCATGGACAGATTCATAAAACATGTTTGATGTGATTTAAACAGTATAATAATATGTATAATAATATATTTATATTATTTATACTGTCAATGAGTAAAACCCAACTGATGGTGGAAACTAGTGAGCGCCCTCTGGTGGACAAACTATGTAATGATCACACTGTTTCTAAACATCTTAAACCTAGTTTGGCCTTTCTGTACTTTAGTTTATTGTTATTTATCAGACGACATTCACACAAACACCAACATATCTGCAATAAGTTAATATCTGCAGATATATCAGTGGCTGATTTATTGATCGAGCTCTACTCAACAGAAAGTTATTGTACACACAGTAAATGTAATAACTGTCAGTCTGATGTGATTAAACCCAAACAACAAAACTCAGTCTGGACGAACTACATTAAAGCAGATCAGTGTTTCAGTTTGTGGAGTCAGACTGTGTAATTTAATGGGAAATAGATTAAAATATATTTTAAATATTATATAATTAAAGAAAATATATAAAGGGTCAAACAATAGAAATAATATTTATGTTCATTAGGTCATTGATTAGATGTGCGTTTCTCTGTGTGCACATAATGTTGTTAATTCAGATTAAATACAGTGTTTTGTTTTAAGATTGTGAAAATATTTTAATTATGTCTAATGAGTGAAAACAGCATATAAAATATTAACATAATTTCTACAATAACAATAATGATTAACACACTAAATTAACGACAACACACTTTTAATTTAAATAAAACGGTCATAAACAACAAGATGGGGTTTTTTAAGTTATTTTTTATTGCCTTTATTGTATTTATTGTATAGCGACAGCCGAAGATAGACCGAGAGAGAGGGGACGACAAACAACAACAAAGGGCCGCAGGTCGGATTCGAACCCGAAATGGAAAATAAAAACACACTTTTTAGCAGCCATTTTGAGAAACAGCCTTCAAGCTTTTCTTCCAACAGTAACTATTATGGATTAATGAGACAGGATCTACTAACATTAACTTTAACATTATGGGTTTGTTCCTTTTTAAAACATTTATTTTATCTGTGAGTATATCCTGGAAACTAAACATCAAACACTATTAAAATAACTTGAGGCGCTCGGTTAGCTCAGTTGGTGACACAGGTACCGAGGCTGAGCCCGTATAATGTAAACTCACCTGCCGCAGCGCCATGTAGACCTATTCCCAGCAGGACCACAAACATCAGGGTCTTCATTGTGTTCAATCTGAGGATTTAATGAACTGAACCACTGACATGTTTCTTTATCCAGAGAAACTCACACACACTGTTTCCAGTTGGAGCTCCGCGGGTGAAATGAGGACAAGAGACGCGGACAACAACCTCCATCTGAGCCAATGGGAATTTAGCTCGACCGTGAACGTCACTTCTAACTAGGTAAAACTGAGCCACTGAGGTTATCAACAAAAGTGAAAGTAAAATGATCTTAGTGTGTTTGAGAGGATGGGTGGGACAGGGCTTTATTCTGGTCTTTCAACGTTGTTCACATATGAAAGGAGAATTAAATCTTCTGCTGCTCAGATCTTGTTCAATGTTTTGTAGGTTAATGTGATGTAATGTGCAGAAATGTGTTATTCTCTGGGAGGTCAGAGGTCACTGTCAGCTACAGATCAGACACTCTGCAGTTTGTGTGGATGCAGCAGTGTCTTATTGTTCTTTGGACAACAGTCCAATAAATCGAAGAGTGATCTTATGTTATATGTATGTTTTATGTTATAGTGTTTAAATGTGACGAGCCTACGAACTGGAACTCGCCTGGAAAGAGGACGAGATCAGGCGACAGCAGCAGGAGGCGGTGACAACCTGCAGTCAAGTAGAACAGACTCAAAGAATATACAGGATGTCACAGAAATGTTTACATCCAACTAGTTCATCTTCAGGTTTCCTGTGGTTTGCAGACCACATTTGGATATATAAAAAAGTTATTATCATCAACCACACAAGATACAGCAATCAGCCATAACATTATGAGCAGTGGGTGGGATATATTAGGCAAGTTTGATGTGTTAGAAGCAGGAAAAATGGGCAGCGTGAGGATTTGAGTGACTTTGACAAGAGCCACATTGTGATGGCTAGACGACTGGGTCAGAGCATCTCCAAACCTGTGGGGTGTTCCCGGTCTGCAGAGGTCATAGTATGACCACATGATCAGCCTATATCCAGTCAAGCCACACAGTAAAGTGGACTATTCACACCATCCTGCACCAGGCAGCTGGGAGACCTGCAAGGAGTATTTTTTTAATTGCCTTTTATTGCTAATGACAGCTGAAGATAGACAGGAAAGGGGGACAGAGAGACGGGATGACACGCAGCAGAGGGCCGCAGGTCGGATTCAAACCCTGGGCCGCTGCAGCAAGGACTCAGTCTCGGTACATGGGATGCCAGCTCTACCCACTGAGCTAACCGGGCACCCAGAGAAGTTGCAGTATTTTAATTTCAAGCTGCTACTGGCTGAAGAAATGCTTTCCCAGTTACATTGTGGTGCACATCTACCAACTAGCTGCATGTGAAACTAAGAGAACAGAGGTACACATGCACACATTTGCACATGCTCTTTCAGAGATACACCACTTTGTCTGCAGCTAGGTACTCTTGTACTCTTATGAATGTCCATAACAATACCTGCAAGCAATATACAAACATGCATATCCATATATACCTCATCATAAATCCCCCTTCTTCTTCTGTATAGTCTTTCCCTCTGCACCATGAGACCACGCAACAGAGAGCTCTCGAGTAACTAGTCCGACCACCAAGCCTTTACTAATTGTAAACTACTGGAATATGATGCCACTTTGTTTTAAAGTGAGCGTGGTTAGTCATAAGTTTCCAGGATATTAGAACATTTCCAACAGGACCAAAACACATTTTTATCTTGTTTGAGGGGGACATAAATTAGATTGTGTAATCTCATCAAACGTGGAGAAGTTGTGATGCATTTGGTGAAACAGCTTTGCACTCTAGAGCGCACTTTATCAAGTTTTATCTACCACAGGGGCAGGGGCGCCATATAGGGGGGGAAAGTTCCAAGGGCCCATGACTGACAGGGCCCCCAAAAAATAGGTAAAAACTAATATAAAATTATTAAATCATCATCATTCAGTATATATATTTCAAATATAATAATAATACAATTAATGATCTCTTTGTTTTTACCTGTTATTGGCAGTAAAAGTTAAATATCCCCATTGACCAAAAAGTAAACATCCACATTGACCGACCACCCCCCTGTATCTGCATGAAATGGTTTGGTCCTGCCTTAGAGCACTTATCAGTGATGGTGTTTATTGCAGTCAGTAGATGAGCCAGAACTACAGTGATCACAATGTTAACTAGTAAATCAAAATCTGGGTTTCAAAATAGAGAGAGAGAAGAGAGAGAGAGGAAAGACAAAGGAAAGGATGTCAATCTGTAACCCAGTGTTTCACCAAGAAAGGAGCCTCTAGTCTGTGAGTGGTGTTAACCTGTTGGCTTAATGTCCATAGGGAAATAAGATAGCCAGCTACAGACTAGTGTCAGCCTACATTTAATCACCATTTAATCAGTTCAGGGAAACGTTTAGCAACATATTCATATTAAATCATTGTCCCTGCCCCTTTTGGCAGACTTAACAACAGATGAGTCAGCAGCACCCCAGTCCCCCCATCACTGTCCCCCTCCCTGTCCCAGTGAAGATGTCACTACTACTACCACTATGTCTCAGGACAGGCTTTGCAGCCATGTTGTCCATTGAAAGTCAGTTGGCTAGAAAGCTAGACTTCAAAGACTTATAAGTGACTTTGCTAGCAAGAAGGCTCGGCGCTGGGCTCTTGGTGACTCAGGCTGAGCGAGGGCCAGTGATAGCTGTCAAATGGCATGGCTATGGAGATTGGATATTACTACAGACATAATGCCCACAGCCTAAACAAACTGAGAACAAGATGTATGGCTGGACTGCCAAAAAGGTGTTCAGCTGTTATTTGAGAGAAAAGTTTGGGTTTCCAGGAGTCCTTTGTTCTTATTTATACCTTTTAATTTGATGTCACTACTGTTAGTTTGTTAAAACCATATTCCAAACCTCAAAACCTTTTGATTTAGTGATCACTTGGTCTGTTTTGTAGCACTATAATAACCCTGGTGTGGAAATTCCATTGTACATGTCAACTTTATTTTCTTGTCATATATGAGCAGCTAAGTTCAAGAATCTGCTGTTTTTATTGTTTTGAGAGGATGATGTTAATTTATTTCTTTGATTGAAAAGTTAATATATATTTAAGTTTGTTTGTTTTTCTTTTTTTAAATCTTTCATTAATAATAATTAATTTCGTTAAGAGAATTTTCCATTTTAAAATTTTACACTAAAAATACATTGAGACTGTAAAAGATGGCCTTTAGCACATGTTTTATAGTTGCTTTTAATCTTGCATCAAATAGTGAACTGCATACTGTATGCAGACTTGCATGCATGTACAAATCACCAGCAGTAAATATTGTGCTAGTACTAGTATTGAACTACAAGAAGCAAGACAGTTGCAAGCCTTTAATTAGAGTTATGTAAAGGTTTTGATGGGACAGAGATGTGGTGACAACAGCTGCGCAGAGGGGGCCCAATTTGATTTTTTTGTCATGGGGCCCAAAATTCCTGGCGGCGCCCCTGCATAGGGGCATCCATTTTTTTCAAACATGAGGGCACTCTGGGACCCCCACGTCCTCCAGCTCATTTCTCTCTCTAGAGAGTTGTATTTACATTTACATTTGGTCTTTGGCTGTTACAAATGAAGCCAGTATAATGTATCCAATCTGTGTATGCAAAGGAAAATTAATTTGAGGTAATACTTTAATACTTTCTTGGTGTGAAAAGATATTGGTTTTGACGTCTTTTTCCCCAAGTTTTGATGTTATTTAAAATTGTAGTATAGTTATTGTTCAAGGTCCAGTGTGTAACATTGAGCAGAACATATTTTTTATCATAGTTTGCTGGAACATCACTGTTGACAAAAACGATTGTCATGTTAGATATTACTGCATTAATAAATAAATTCAGTGAGTCAGGACTATTTTAATTTTGCCTATAGACCTCCAGCCTCCTAGACGTAGAGGCACTAAGAGGCAAAGCTTAATAAGAATAAGAAAGGATCCTTTTTTTTTGCACCAAAAAATAATATCAAAACTCTGCCAGACACAGCGCTGTGTGGTTTTGTTAAGATCCACTAACATGCACACTGTAGGCTGTGACATCTACTGCAACACATATTGAGCCACACCCATCACTCTTACAACACTTATGCGCCATTTTGTGTCTTCCTTTGTCGTCTCTCTCGCTCTGACCAGCATTCACTGCAGGGCGAACTGGGCGTAGATATTTGCCTCCTTGCACACAGACATGTACATTTAAGACAGAAGAATAAAAGAAGACATATGTTTTCATTTTGGGATATTAATCTGTAACAACATACTTCCTGGAACAGGCAACCACTTAATCTGCCCAGAATGCAACTTGATTAACTCTTTTTTTCTCTCAGTCAAAACCTGCAGCTCTATTTCAGGGTATGACTGAGGTAGATCAACAAAATGAACCTGGTATAAACTGCAGCTATGGAGGGAGCGCCTCAATACAATAGTTGCCTTTTCAAGAGTCTTGTATGGTGTTAGAGCTCCTCCAGTGGACAGAGACAGAACAGCCCTCTGGGAAATCACATGATGAGTCTGTTAGGTTTCATTTCTCTGTGTGACACAGAGATCTGGGATGATTTGCAAATTGTGTCACACACAGCAGGAAGGAGGGTCCCAGCCAAGGCATCGATGCTTCTAGTCCTCCTTGTTTTGCCAGATTCCTCTGGGTGTTCATGAACATATTTTATCTGAATAATTTTAATAATAATAAAAGATCAGTAAAACTTCAATGATGTTAGACTGAAAGGTCTTAAATAAAGTGAGTTCACTTGTCTTTAAACATATAGAAACGTTACTGTAGGAGGAAAAATAACCCATTTGGTGAATATATTAAAAGGAAATTAGTTGCATTAAGTGGTGGATAAAAACAAAGGTTGTATGTGTGATTAGTGGTTCGTGCAACACTTCATTGTTTCTGACCTCTCAGCCTGGATTATACTCCTGAAAGCAACCTCACCTGTTCTCTTGCTTCTCACTAATCTCCTTTTTATGCATTAAATTCTGCACACATACCAGCATGAAAGTGATATTATCCATTGCTGTTTAATGTCTGTCTACAAAAACACAACACAAAGAAATTGTCCGTACGAGATAGACGTTTGGCTGAAATAAAACAAAATTATGTTGTTACATTTAAAAATAGCAGACTATGTCAACTTCTTCCAAATGATGATCCCCTTAAAATTATAACTGAGTCTCTTTCTTTTCCTATCACCTCTGCACTACATCATCATGCATAGTCACAGCACTACGGCTCTGCGTCTTAAAGTGATTACTGTTGATTTTAAAATCTAGATAAAAGCATTAATTCAAACCTAAAATCAAAAACTGATTAAAAGCTAAGTCAGTTTCTTTAACCAGGGAAAAAAAAGATGCTGTTTTTAATCATTAAAAACAAGTTTTCATTTCAAATGATGTGTCATCCATAACAAGAAACTCACATGTAGTAATAAATAAGTAAATATGATATATATTCCTATAATAGTAGTCACAGATGTGTAACCATATGTATATGGAATCACAAGAAGACACTTTATTGAAAAGTACAAAAATATAAAATAAATACTTTAATCTTTAAATTATATCATAAGAAATACACAAACTATTTACACAACTGGAAAATCAATTCTGTATTCTATATTTACATTTATGTTACCAATATTGAATTTGTCAGGAAATAAATGTTTAATATATAAATATAATATTTAATAATCTAATATGACCATTTTATTGTTTAATATTTGTCAATTCATTTTAAATGTGTGTTCTTTGTATTCCAATTATTAAGCATCAACGTTTAGATTTCTAACCCTGATTCTATCAGTTTATGATGATGAACAACCAATGAATTCCCAGTTTAAAGAGGAGAATGTGGTTGGGCCGCTCCTTGTTCGAGGGCAAAATTTATCCATAAACCGAAAGGGAGAAAAACATTACATTAAATAGAAAATATACATTTATCATACAGGTTTGGAGAATAAAATTTCACAGAGATCCATATTTACAGATCATTTAGACCCAAAGTCTAATTTTATCATTTTAGTGTTAACATTTTGTAAAACAAGTTATTACCTCCTATGCTTTCGAGGTACAGTCTTTTTCTTCTCCATTTGGTTTAGCACCAGTTTAATCTCACTGTTAAAGGGGTAATAAAAGGTATGCTAGCAAGATATATACAATATGAACAGTATTTACAGAATGAACAGATATACAGTATATACAGCGTAGGTGAACCGGTGATTTGCTGGGCAGTTTTCACCACCCTCTGCAGAGTTTTCTGGACCGAGGCCGAGCAGTTATACCAGACTGTGATCCAGTTGGTAAGAATGCTCTCGATGGTGAAGCGGTAGAAGTTCACCAGAATCTGAGGAGACAGATGGGCCTTCTTGAGTCTCCTCAAGAAGAAGAGATGCTGGTGAGCCTTCTTGACCAGGTCTGGGGTGTTCAGGGTCCAAGAGAGGTCCTCAGAGATGTGAACACCCAGAAACTTGAAGTTGGAGACACACTCAACGTCAGTTCCCTTGATACAGATGGGGGTGTGTGTGCCGCCACTGGTTTTTCTGAAGTCCACAATGATCTCTTTGGTCTTCTTGGTGTTGATGGCCGGGTTGTCGTCGGCGCACCAGGTGGCCAGGTGCTCGACCTCCTCCCTGTTGTATTAGCTGGTCAGATAATCTGACCTGTTAATGAAAAGGTTTCTAAAAACATCTGTGCCTTTCTCTTAATAATGTTAACTTCATAAAAATGTTTCACCTTTGTTGTGGAAAATCAACTAAAAGTCAAAGAAAAGTGTCACAGAAGTTTTACAGTGAATAATTGTATTTTGCACTTTAGTTTAAGGCAGCTTTGTTTAACAACAGGTGTGAATAGTTCATGTCTGATAAGATGTAACTCACTGTGTTCAGGGTGGTGTTTTTGTTGTTTAGGCATTGGGGTTCAGTTGCTCCATGACCTCAGGGTTGCTTATAGCTGTAAGGTCAGAAACACATTGTTAGCCCACATTCTGCTCTGAGCTGACGCTGTTATACTATATATATATATATATATATATATATATATATATATAGTATACATTATAAACAGATAACAGTGAAAAAAAGTTCTTCAACAGAAAATACACTTTTTTATTCTAAAGAGAAGTAAGGTCAGAGAGAGAATAGCAGGTATTACTTACGAGATGGAGGGCGTTTGGCTGAAATAAAATTTAAAAAAGACAAAATGATTAATGTTACAGTTAAAAATAGCAGACTTTATCAACTTTTTCCCTGTAATAATCCCCTCAAAATGATAACTGATTCAACTTTTTGTTTACATCTTACAGTATTTATTTTCCTATCACATGATCACATCTCCCCTTAATCATCATGCTTTAGTCATGGCACTACGGCTCTCAGTCTTACAGTGCTTACTGTTGGTTTTAAAACTGGATAAAAGTGTCCATTCAAATGAAATCTAAATACTGAAAGAAATAAAGACAGTGTCTATTTTGGTCTCTCACCATTTTTCTTTTTATAGATGACACATCCAACCACGGCGATGAGGACGAGAGCGAGAACAACCACTGCAGCAATGATGATGACAGTAGCGTCAAAACCTGAACAGATGAAGCAGTTTAGAGGAAAAGATCCATTTACCAACCAGACCACAATCCTGTACACAGACACTGTTTGTTTCTGTTGTTAATCAAATTTCATCCATCCAATACACATAAAAGTACATAAACAACCTTCATCACTGATCCCAGTCTTACCTTCATTGGTCCTGATCACTGCTTTGTCCAGTTTGGTGACGATGTCGTTCTTCACACCAGAGAGCTGAAACACACAGTCGTACCTCCTCCAGTCTTCAGGTGTGACTGATGAATGAAGCTTCAGGTCAACACTCATCTGGAAGGATCCATCGTGGTTGGGGAGGATCTCTCCGTGGTCCACGTCCTCATGAAGCTCCACTCCATCTTTCCTCCAGATGAGTGTGGCTCTATCAGGGTAGAAACCTGAAGCGTGGCAGCTGACTGGAGAGGAGGGAGTCTTCTGGAGGAGAGACACTGAGGGAAGCTCTGAGGAGAGAGAGAGAGAGAGAGAGAGAGAGAGAGAGAGAGAGAGAGAGTTTATAGGTTCTAAGTTAGTATTTACTGTATATTAATACTATAATTGTTTGATGTGTATTTTAAATGTTAACAAACACTATATACATGTATGAAATGCAGATAAACCTCATTGAAGTGTAATTGAGTAAAGACAACAGGGACAGAGGGAAACAATACAGATGAAGGGAGGTGGGTGAGATAGATTAGAAAGGGAGGAGGACAGTGAGTGTGAGAAAGAGAGAGAATGAGAGAGAATGAGAAATGTAGCAGAGAAAGTGAGAGAGAAAATGTGTGTAAAGTGAGACAGAGTGAGTCTCTGTATGTTGGTGATATTTATTGTGATGTTACTGTTGGTTAGAAACTGAAGAGGAAGATGAAGATTGTAGTGTCCATTAAACTACATCAGGTCATGTGATTCTACCTGTTCTCAGCAGAGAGCTCCTCCCATAGTCCACATACTTCTTCACCCAGTCAATGCACTCCTGGGTGAAGTATTGATTTGTCTGAGCTTTAAAAGCTTCATTATTATCCAAATTTCTTTTGGTGATGACAGCCTGTTGTTTTGGAGCGATCCATGTCAGCATCTTCAGGTCAAATGCTATGAAATCTTCTCCATCATAACCATACTGGTTAAAACCATTAACCTCATCAGTCTCATCATCCCACTCACAGCCGTACATCCTCTGGAAAATGTGGACACCTGAGAGAGAGACAGACAGAAACAGTATTAAACCAGAGTGAGATCACAGCACAGTCTTCTATCATCAGTTGATATCACATCTTTACCACAGAGACACACTGATCCACAGACACCAACACAGAGGATCTACACCTCCTGCTGTTATTGGCTCGATGGAAGACACTCACAGACAATCATCATCTGGACAGTGTGGACGTCAGATGTCTCCTTTTATATTATGGGATGGACAGACTGTATCAGTACAGCAGAGTTAATATAATATAATCTGTATTCTACTACATATTGTGGGCTCAAACTAATTATTCCTGTCATTATTGATTAGGTAATGACTATTTTTTCTGATTAATCAATAAATCATTTATGTTGTAAAATGTTCAGAAACAGTGAAAATGTTCATCACAAGTTCCCAGAGACTAAAGTTAAATCTTCACATTGATACGTTTGTCCGACCAACACTGAACATTATTTAATTTGTAACGATATAAAACAGAGAAAATCAGCAAATTCTCTTATTTGAGAAACTGGAACTAGAAAATGTTTGTTTCAGTTTAATAAAATAATTCAATTATTATTTAATTATCAAAATTATTGTGAATTAATTCCCTTTAATCAACTAATCTATGAATTGATTAATGGTTTCAGCACTATATATGTTCATTATGACACAGACACACTGTGTTCATGTAGAGTTAATCTAACCTGTAGTTCTACTATATATATACTGTATATTATGGGATGGACACAGTGTGGTCGGTACAGTAGAGTCGTGCTGTTAAACTGTTTAAACCTCTGATCTGAATGAGACATTGACCATGTTGTCCTGTCAGCAGCTTTATTAAAACATACTGCTGCTCCTCTCATATGGGGACCCAGCAGAAGCAGCCTGTCTCCCATTTACAGTCCGGCTCCGTAGTTTAAGAAACCAGGCAGTAATGTTCCTCTATCAGCTGTGTGCTGTCAAACTGTTGTGATGAACAGGTTCCTACAGTAGAGTTATTATGGAGCGACTCACTGTGGGCAGTTCAGCAGAGTTATTCTGATCTAATCTAGTGGAGATAAAGTGTTAATGATCTCTGCTGGTAATTATGGGATGGACACAAACACTGTATCAGTGCAGTAAAGCAGCATCCAGTAGTCTCAGTGTCACTGATGTTTCTGTTGAGTCTGACTGTTTCAGCCATCAGACAGTTTAATGTACGTCAATAAAACACACGACCAGTGAAGAATAGTATGTGTGAGTGTATAAAGTATAAACAAACCTTCAGTTTGGTTGAAGCGTGGCTTCACATTTTCAATGTTGGCTTTGAAGGTCTGCTGGGCACCCAAATAGATTTGAGTGTTCCCCTCCAAGTACTGAGGATCATCTGCTGTGACTCTGATCATCCAGTCCTGTTTGAGTTCTGCTCTCCTGGTGTTACTGTCAAAGTGATCTATCTGAACTTCATCAACCAACCCAACAGTCACAAACTCTGGGAAGTTTGGGACTCCAGAAGACGCAGTGTAGAAATACTTCAGAGAGTGAGTCACTGTAAGAAAACATTAATGTAACATTTCAGTTTTATAAATCACTGAACAATGTTATTGTCCTGCACACAGAATCAAAAAGAACTACAGTAAATTCAACCCTAATAATCTCTGTTGTGCAGTCAATAAACACAAAAATACATTTATAGTAGTGCTGTCAAACGATTAAAATATTTAATTGCAATTAATCGCAATTAATTGCACATTTTTATCTATTCTAAATGTCCCTTGATTTCTTTTTTGTCCCATTATATTTTCTCATTTTAATCCTCTTATCAACATGGAAAAGTGGATCGGCTTGCTTTGTGCAAATGTTGTTTTTATTGAAAAATCATCCATTGTCGTCTGGCTTTGATGAGGGGGTGGAGAATTCGCATCAGCTGTGTGTTTGGCCATCAAGTGGTATTTCAGACTGGACGTGCTGCGATGATAGCTCAGTTCACAACGACAAAACACACAGATCCCTTTGGTCTTGTCAATGGAACCATTTGGCAACTTTTTAAAAGTAAACTTTCCATTCAGAATATTATTGGCATCCATTTCGGCGTCTCGCGCTCGCCATCCACTCAAAACGTAACGTCTACTACTCTGAAGGCTCGTGTATACTCGCCGTTCCCGACCTGTCGCACGACAACGTGAGGATTTTATGGTGCTTTCCATTTGTCTCGTAAACCCCCGGCCGAGTTGGAAAGTGTAAATCTCGCAGCTATCTCGCGACATTTCACCGAGACACACCCCCTTTTGGTCGGAGTATCAACCATCAAACTCGGGGCTCCTCAGAGTTCACCGAGCTCAACGGGGGCGTACGACTCGCAAAACAAAGATGGATGCGCCCATATTGAGATGTGTTTTCTTTGTATTTGTCCGACGTTGGTCGTTTTAATGTCGATTTCAAATGCTCCTACACACTTGTTTACATTGCTGCTTTAGTCCGGTCACCAATTTATGCATTGCACGGTGTTGCTGTGTGTCCAATGTAAAGTTTTTGTTTTCGTTTGCTAAATAGGCTAATGTAGCTAACAATAACACTAACCTGTTACTGCCCCTGGAGGCCCCTGGTGGCCCCTGGAGGCCCCTGGTGGCTCGAGAAAACGCGACAACCCTTGTTCAAATTGAAATAGGCGAAAATGGCAAAATATTATTGAAATGTAAGACTTGCAATAACGGAATTACTTGAAATGTTTGTGTTTCTGTAGAAAAACATTATTATTATTTCACATTGAGCTTGTTTAGAAGAGCCACAAACAATAACAACACAGCTGCTGCACTCGTGGCATCCATGTTCTTTCCAACTCGTAATGCCCAAAGACAAATGGAACGCTGTAAGTGGTACAAGCCAGGCAATTACGTCACGTTCTCGCGTCAGAGCTACTCGGGCGGGGGATTTACCCACCAATACAGTCGCCGTTCCCGACCTGTCGCGCGACAATGTGACGTCACGGGAGCGCCGTAACCATTTATACTTGCGCGTGGTGGCTGCGACACTAGTTGCAGTCTTCTCCTGAACAGAGGTGTCGCTACTGAGTAAAGGCTACCGACTTTGCTATTTCTAAGCACTAGAAGAAGAAGAAAGATTTTCCGGCATATGGCCTCCTCTCTTCCAACATTCATGGCGATTTCTCGTCATGAAATCTGGCACCTCTGGGCATCTCTGTGTTCCTTCATTGAAGGATCGTTCAGATCGTCCATCTTCCTGTTTCAGCTTTGTCGCGCTCAGCTGAAAAAAAAAGAGTGGTCTGGGCTTTTTTCTTAATCTTTATTAAATCTTTTCGATACAAACAGAGAGAACAAGCAAACAGAGTCATTAATACAGAAAATACATTAGTCAAGAGCAGAGCCAGGGGGAGTTTCAAATATATACATTAAAAATAGAGCATAACTGAATGGTTTTAGCAGCTTTCTTATTTTTTGAATCATAGATGGTTTTGATGTACTGTTCCGTTTCCTTACCAAAAGCAATTAACAAAGGTTGAGAGTTACTAAATTTGGCTTTGTGAATATAATATTTCCCTAAAATGATCAACAGATTAATTAGGTATATTTCTTTCTGTTTTTTACTTTTGTTGTCATGGAAACCAAACAGTACATCTTTCCACAACAAAGGAAAATCAGAGACAATTTTATCAGTAATGTATCGGGATAGATCTTTCCAGAAAGTGGTGGTACATTGTGGGACATTGCTAGAACAGGTGCACCATTGTTTCTGGACATATTCCACATAAAGAACAGTTAACACATTTTGTCAAGCTTAAACCTAAGGAGATATTGCTTAGCAGGATAATACCTATGTGTGATTTTGATAGAGACTTCTCTTACTCTATTTGTAAGGAGGTATTTGTAAGGAAGGTTCCAGATATTTCCCCAATCCAGGTTGTTGACAAAATTAGACCAATAGGGAACAACATTAGGGGTACTGGTGAGATCTCTCTGGAATAAAGAGCGAATGTTACGATTATTATTCCTCGTTGTGGTAGCGAAACATATATTACCAACTGAGGTCAACTTAGGGTCCGAAGCTGGTAAACAGTCTGGTTTTCCAGTCCCTTTTAAGAGAGTTAAAACACCAGATGGGATGGCATCCATAACAATTGCAAACTCTTTTGGGGTGATTGGAATGCCAAAAGTGTGAAGGAATTCAGAATAATTCAGCAATGTTCCATTATCATTTAGTAGTTGGGATACTAGAATTATTAATAATTATTACTAGTTATTATTGAACCAAGTTTTATACTTGAACTTAATAAGCCGATTATTCCAGATGAAGCAACTATGTGGGGAGAAATTATGTTTGTAGATTAACGCCCATGCTAAGAGCATTTGTTTGTGGAATTTAGATAAAATTAAGGGAATTTTTTCTATTTTACAGTCACACAAAAGTAAATATTCTAGACCTCCAACCTTAGAGAAAATATAGTTAAGTATAAAATTCCATGTAGATGTGGGACTTTTTAGAAAATGCTTTATCCAATTTATTTTAAAAGTATTATTAAGGGTTGTAAAATCAAGAAAGTTTAGGACACCGCGTTCAAAAGTGTTGATAATAACAGATTTTTTCACATAATGCATCTTGTTTTTCCAGATAAAATTGAAAAGTAATTTATCAATGGAATTACAGAGCTTTTTGTTGACAAACAAGGGGATAGCTGCATATGTAAGACGGGATAAACCTTCTGCCTTTGTCAACAATACTTGTCCTTTCAAGGATAAATCTCTCTGCAGCCATTGATTAAGCTTTTTCTTTGTCTTATCACTAATCGAATTAAAGTT